TTTTTGTCCTTAACGAGGATATCAACAAAAATAAAGTAATTGTGAAAATGATTCAACTTATATTTATTCATTCATCTAATATCTCTCCAATGGTATTGAGTACAAGTTTTGTCCTCGACTAATTTCCAATTGTAGTATGGGCTACAAAAGGGGTGTGGATTGTGGGTACAAGACTTTTTAAGTGAGAGGTGGAAATAATCATGCTTTAATCTCAAATGCAAAATTGACATATTTGCATCTAGGGTCTGGTCGTATCTTCCTTTATTATTTTCTTGGTTGATATTGATCCTTGATTTGTGATACAAAGGTGGCTATTTCCTCCTCCCAATTCTCACATGTGATTTACTACTCTCAGGCAAAGGTTAACTATCATCATTTTTACATGAAATCATTACTAGGGTTTCTTTTTCTGCTTGAGCTGAAGTGGGGGCAATAATATATATTAGTTTTTGTTTCTAATTGGATTTTTTGAATGAATTAATTCATTATATCGTTATTTTCCCCCACCTGCTAGGAAGGATCCATCTCAGGTAATTCGATTGGATGATTCAAGGTCCAGGAAGGTACATCTATAATATCTTTTATATCCCAAGCTACAGCAGTTTACTGGTGATATAAGTCCCAATTTGACTATAAGAGTGTTAATGATCTGTCAATAATTGAGATCTTATAAACTTAAGCAGGGTCAGGCCATTGTTCTTGATGATGAGGATGAAACTTCTATTCTGGAGAAAGAATGTCAAGAAAACAAACTTGATGAATGGTATGAGAATTTCATCACTTTGATGTCTTCATCTAATTATTCTGATTTCCATTATGACATTTTGTCTATGAAATTTTAATAAATTTCATTGTGTCTTTTCAGCCTGAAGGAAGCTAAGATATATTATCCATCGAGGTACAGCGAAAAGAACAATACCAAAGGATTTGATTTGACTGTAATTTGTTGTTTCATCTATTCTCTGTTGCATGACATTTTCATTGTTTTTATGTGATGGCTCAGTGATGATCCGAAATGTGTTGAAATTTGCTACGCAGACATAGATTGCCTCGCTCCTGGAGGCTTTTTAACTTCGACTATCATGAACTTCTACATTCGGTAAGTGTGTGTGGGCCCTTCTTATTTCTCTATTATTAATGAAATGATTCATGGGTCATCTTCTAATATCTCAATCTTTGGGGATGATGGCACTTGATGTGGCATCTGGCCAAGGGGTGAAGAATTTGAGGCTTGTCATGTCATTCATCATTAGCAAACCAATTTTGGCACAAGGTATAATGGGCTTGTTATTTGTTCAAAAAATCAAGCTCAAACAACTTTCTCTGATGAAGGCATGTTAGAGATATTAATAAAACTATAATCGTGTTTGGGCTTTCTCCTGACCAGTTAAGCTCTTGAGAGGAAATGACCCATGACGACTATTCTAGTTGCTTGTAAGAGGAGTGCTAATAATTTTGGCACTTTGTATAACTAGCCAAAGGAAAAGTCTTTAGGGAGAATGACAATTAGGTTCCAAAACTGCGATTATTTGACAATAAGGTCCTGATTTTACCAAACTAGATCTGTATGCCTGCCAATTTGTTTGCTATAACTCCTTTTTTTTTTTTTTTCGGTCACAACTTTTTTCTGTAACTGATAAACAGCTATTGTTTCTTAGGATAAATTATGCTTTATTCCCAGTGAGATGCATTGTATTCATGGGTGTCTTTCAAATGACATTAGCACAAAAACTATAGGCTACATTTTCTTAGAAGTTATATCTTTAGTAAAAGAAATTAAATAATTTTTTTAGGGTGTTTGGGTTATCTTTTAACTTTGCACGATGTTTGCCTCTATTTTTATATGGGGGAGAGAATTGTATATATTGGGTGTTTCTCAAGAAATAGAACAGTTATTTGTCCTAGTTATCATATGATTACTGCTCTACTTGTCATTTTAAACGCCGTTAATCATGCGTGCTAGTAATTCTTCTTTTGTTTTTCTTGTTTCTAAGCTCAAAATGTATGACCTTTTTTTATTTGACTAGATACCTGCAACAGCAAGCGTCTGTAAGAGATAGATCAATATCTGACTACCATTTTTTCAATACATATTTCTACAAGAAGCTTAAAGAGGCTGTTTCCTACAAGGTAGTTAATTTTTTCTACTTTCTTGCATAATTTTTTTATGTGCCTGTGCATTAAGAGTTTTTTTTAGTTAGTAGACTTCAGCTCGTTCTGATAAAATTGAGTTGTTCAATTCAAAGACCTTTAGGCTTCTTGCTGCTTGACTGGTTGCAGTACTATTTGATGAGTTATAGGTGCTATGACTTATTTTCTTTGGCCTAGTTTCTATCAACTATTGTTTTGCTTGTTAACATTCTTGGTTTCTCTAGGCATCTGGAAAATATCATCATATTGTGGTTTTGTAGCAGGTTCCTCATCTCTCTGGTTTTTTGGAACTCTTGTCATATAGTTATTTTAGGAGTAGATTTTTCGAAGCTTGACAGGCAAGAAGTAGGTCAGGAATGCACCGTACTTGTGTTTAAAAAGAGTAGGTTGAAAACCAAAATGGATTACCTCATTAGTTTAGCAATATGTTTTAAAAATAATAAGTGGATAATGGCATATTAATAAAGAATCTTTGCTTGGGGCAAAAATGGAATATGCAATACTCTCATCTCGGAGTTCTCGACAGTAGAAATAAACTATTGTCTCTGGATTTAATTTCTTCTTGTTTTCCTCCCATTTCTTTCTCTGGCTTTTATTCAGTGTATACTTAACTCACGTTCCATTGCAATATCCAGCGGAGTGACAGAGACAGATTCTTTGCGAAGTTTAGAAGGTGGTGGAAAGGCACAAATATTTTTCACAAGGCATATGTTCTAATTCCAATTCATGAGGAGTAAGGTTTTTCATTAGTATTGAAGTTTTGTTTATATATTTATGAATAGTAGAAAGGCTGCCTTTTTTAATTTAGATTATTTTATGGATAATACCTGTCACATGAGAAATTATTGAGAAAGATTTTTTTGTTAACAATCTATCCAAAGATTTAGTTCTTGATAGGACACAATGGCGTGATGTAATCCACATAGTGGGATGAGGTTTTGTTGTTGTTTCCTGTCACATGAGAATAAATTCTTTTGGCAATTCTTGGGTTATAATGGATCCTCTTCATCTTAAGATGAGGACAATACTCAATGGGATATTTGACCTGCCCATTAAAGACCTGGGGGAAGAGGGGGATGATTGATTTTCTTTAATTGATTTCTTAATTGAAGTTAGGTAATAATTGAATCAAATGTTAAGTAACCATTGACTATAGTGGAAGTTTTAAGTTTCTATTTATGGAAATCTGCTGCCTTAGTTTTGCATCTTTGTGATACAGCTCATAATTCTTTAGGGATGTTCCTCTTGTGGATGCTCAAAGGCGATGCTTTATTCTGATTTCTGTTCCTTTTGGTTTGTTCTTTTCTGTTGCCTGTTTGTTCTGTTGGCAACCTGCTTTAGTGGGATAAAGCTGATTGATATTGTTGCTGCTGCTGTTGGCACCTAGAGAATATCTAATTTCCTTATTCTAATCCTTCTCCCCCTTGTGCTTAAAGATATTCTTCACATTCTGTAGAAAAAAAGGTTATTGGATATCAAAGAGTTGGCAAGAAGTGTAAAATAAGGATAGGAGCAATTTAAATTAGAAGTTTTGGTGGTTATGTTGCCTATGCTTTGTGGAAATCCCGATGGTTGATATTAGAATATTTTTCCTTTATTATTATTTAAATAGCCATAGTCACAGGAGTTGATTTAGGATCTTGTTTATTCACCTTGTATTGTATACCTGGTTTCCTGGGCTTCTTATAATTTTCCTTCGGTAAACATTCTCTACCCTACAGCATCTTTGGAATGATAAAAATACGGTTTTCCCCTCTGTTCGCAGATGCTTTTAGAGTCTTAATGCTCTGCTTGGATGGAAAGAAAAGTTGAGAGAAAAGAAAATGAGAGGAGAGAAAATAGAGAGAAGGAAAAACTGGAGGGAAGTTATCATCATCCTTCTTGCTCGGATGGATGAGAGAAAATAGAGAGGAGAGAAAATTAGTAAATATCTAAATGACTAAAATATCCTTATCAAAATATATCATATTTAAAATTAAATTAAATTAAATATTGTAATAGAAAAATTATACTAACATTAGCATCATCAAATAATTTAAAATCAAGTTATTTGATTTATATATTTTTTCATATTATTATGTTTTAAAACCAAATTATTTAATAAAAACTGTTTTAAGATTAAAAAATAAAAAGTGAATAACTTTTTAAATATAATAAAAGAAAATAAATATGGAGAAGAAGAGAGAGGAGGGATAATCATGGAAATCTTGTTTTCTTTTCCAAATCTCTCCATATATGGAGAGAAAATTTGGAGAGAAAATAAGACATGGGGCCCACCTTATTTTCTCCTCCACTTTTCCTTCCTCCCATATTTTCTTCCCTATCCAAGCAAGGGAAAACTTGTTTCTCTCCATGTTTTCCTCTCTAGTTTTCTTTCCTCTCCAATTTTCTCTCAAGCCAAGCAAGGGGTTAATGGCTCTAATTTATGATGAGACTTTTCTGCTTTTGATTGTGCTTGATTTGTAAATATTACATGTGAGCTTTCTGCTGATTATGTTTTAGTTAATGCATTTTAAAAATATACGATGTCCTCTGTTGTTATTTTTATTTTTATGGCTGGTACTTATTTATGTTTCATCCATGCAGTCTTCACTGGAGTTTGGTCATTATTTCGTTCCCTGAGAAAAAAGATGAATCTGGGCCAATTGTACTTCATTTAGATTCTCTGAGTCTTCACTCTAGTAGATCAGTTTTTGAAAACATAAAAAGGTGAGACGGGAGAACTTTATAGTTTATACCATTATTTATATGCTTTGCCCCGGTCCTCAGTTCTTTCTCCTGCAAGGACATGTTACATTATCATTATTCTGTTACTTTTTTTTTTTTAAATTTATTATTTTTAGGAGTGTGGGCAAATCAATATCAGTATAGTCAATGGTGATCTTCTCATGTTGCATCTTGCTTATTACGAAGTATTGGAAAATATCGTATATTTATGCCAATGGAAATTAAGAGACATGAGTTAATTGCTAAATGTTGATATTTAATAACACTATTGTTCAGAACCCAAGATGAATAAAGTCTTGAGAGAAAAGGGAACTAATAACACCGCTAACAGAAAATAAAACTCTGGTCAAATGTATCCTTTTAGGATATAATGGACCCAAAATACCTGAAGGACGTGAACGAATCTTTTGTAAAACTCAAGGGACAAAAGGATGCCTTTTACCTGTCATTTTGTAAGGCACGTCACATGTGGCGGCATTGTGTTTTGAGAAGCATTTGAGATTTCTTGATATATTTCGATGATGAAAGTTTTGGACATTGTTCAACTTGATGATGTAGTTGCTTGTATTCTTTCTATCATCATATGCAGTTTTTTTCCTTATATCCTATCTTTTGGTTGGCCGGTTTTTTCCTTATTCATCTTTAGTTTGAGTAACGAACTGAGGATCTTGTAAAATTACCATATGCAGTTTTTTGAAAGAGGAATGGAAATATGTGGACAAAGAGTGTGTGCCTTCAGATATTCCAATTGCTGAGAAGATATGGAAGTATCTTCCACGTAGAATTGAAGATAAAATACTTGCGGTTAGCTTTTGTTCACATTTGTGTATGCGATTGTATTTTGGGTCTTGGGATTCTCCATGTCATCAAAATAGCATAAACTGCTTGGTTGAGATTACCATGAGCTTAGATGCTCTTAATTGTTCTTCTGCTTTTAGATGTGAGGTTTCTACTCTCCGATTCCAACAACCCCCCTCAAATGTAGCTAGACTTGCTCTTTTTTTTTTTTAGTCCAATTATTATTTGGGCTCCATTATGTCTGCTTAAACTTGTGTTTTTGGAGTCTCAGAGGCCTCAGGTCACAACATTCCTCTTTACCATATCTAAGTCTGCGCTGTTGTACCTCAAAGGCCTTTGGTCCATTATTTTTTTAGGATCTCAGATCTTGTGGTGGTTGGGCTTTTTTTCCCCCTTTATTTTTTTTTTGGGGGGGTGGGTTGATGTTATTTTAACTTGTGTCTCCGTTGGGCTTGGGCTTGTTCATACAACTATAATAGCCTGAGCTACCTGATTGGTAATTAAGATCACCACAAGCTGATATGCCTCTCATTTTTTTTTTTTTCAAACTTCTGGATTTATTCTTCAACATTTTTGTGTTTCGTATACCCAAAGGTGGGGAAAATCCTTATTCAAATTCGAATGGCTGAAAGTCAAGATATGTAATATCTAGGGAAAACCATATTGAAGGTACCTATACTTTCTCTCAATTTTTAATTTGGTACCTATGTGTTTTTTTCCCTTTAATTAAACATTTAATTTTATCTTTTTAGTAATATTAGCTCTTATAACTTTGTTCTATTGATATTTTTAGTCTCTACATAAGGATTAATGATGTTAATAGAGGAAAAATAAAGATTTAGTTAAGAACAAAAAACACATAGGTACCAAATTGAAAATTGAAAAAAAGTATAGGTACCTTCAATATGGTTTTCCTTAATATCTATTATATCCCAACAATTATTTCTCAATTACAATTATCTCTTTTTATTGTTAATATGTACTTAGGGATTCTTTTTATTATTAATTTATATTTACGGACATAAATGACATTTCACATTAAAAAAAAAAAATCAGTTTTCATTTCATTCCTCTTTCTAATCCTTTCCATTCTGCATACTAAACGAACGCTGAATGACAGCTTCAAGCAGCATGTCTTTTAAGCCGTGGAGGTTTAGTTTCACTGGGTCAACTGCATTGGAGCTTTCCGCTCATTTAAGTTAATTATTGAGATTTGATGATTGGAATTAAAGTTACTTGTACTTCTAACAACTTCATCATGATCTTTTCTTCTTTTTTTCTTTTTTGCTAAAATATTGTCTGTTGCACCAGGTTCCCCAACAGAAAAACGAATATGACTGTGGTCTATTTGTGCTGTACTTCATTGAGCGTTTCATAGAAGAGGCTCCTGAACGACTGAAGAAGAAAGATTTAAACATGGTAACAGATTTAAATGTTTCTTAGTATGAGAATTTATTATCAAGCAATGGATGGGGTTGATACATATCATTTTGCAGTTTGGCAAGAAGTGGTTTCAACCTGAAGAGGCATCCAGTTTGAGAGTGAAGATTCATAAGTTGCTCAAAGAAGAGTTTCAAAATTCCTACAAGGACATGCCATCTGGTGAATGTGTCACCAACACAGACAAGGATTCTTGACCTAGTTTAGGACCACGCATTGAAATCCTCATTCACCGGATGAATAATCTCTGCATGGTTTACACTGCTGATTATTTGGTGTACAGACAATTCGTTTTGCAGCGTTGGTAGGAATCAGAGGATCCCCTCATAAAATACAGCCGACTTGTCCAGTTTCTCACCCTTTCATGTGGGTAAGGAAATGTTTAGATACCAAATGTATAGTAAGAAACTGTAGAAAGCTGAGCTTTAGTATGTCAATTTCACTTGCTTAGGGTAGTCGCTGAGAATGAGAATCCACACAAACAATAATATTCAACAAGCCTTATTTATGCCCCAGCCCTTCTTTGTATGGTCCTGAGAATTCCTGGCACTTTGCCACTTTGTTATTTCCTATCAGCTTCTACCTCTTCTAACAACTATTCCTAACTAATCACACTCAACAGTAGCAGATTATCTGAAGGAGATGATTTGAGCCTTTCAGTTTTCATCAAGCATTATGAATTCTTTTTTTTTTTTTGGCACTACTGTCATAGTTAAGCTTTGTTCAAAATTAAATTCCATTCTGGATAATTAAGTATACATTCTTATTTGTTACTCTAGTCATGTTTAAAATTTTACTCATGCTTTCTTTTTGACGAATTCAAATCTGGATTTTTTAAAAAAATGACATGTACCATCCTAGTTAACCCTTCCTATAACCAACCCCCCCCCCCGGAAACAGGATGGTTTTATTCTTTTTCACTTTTCTATTGTAAATGAACTGTCTACAGTATTTACATTCGAGTGAGATTTGATGATTTGTTAACGTGGACTGTCACTTTGGATTAACTTTTTGAGACGGCAAATTCATGACGGTGAAATTTTGAGAAAAATCGGTCAATGATTGCCACCTTCAAATTCAATCGTCTCTCTTGAAGCTACACAAATCACTGGTTACCAATACTTGGAAAAAAGGCGACGTATTAAGATGATCAAGAGCTGCGTCTGCGTTCATGAAATTCTTTTGTTAGTTTCTCCCTCTAGTCCTTTTAAGAAAGCGTGTTTAATTATTTTCATGAGATTAATAATTTTGGTTAAAAGTGGCTTAATGCAGATCATTACTTTTCAGAATCACTCTTAGCATTAGCATAACGGAAGGAATGAAAATTATTTAAGAGGTGAGGTTTTTAAAAATGCGTGATAAATTTTTCATTAATTTTGTAAAAGATCCTGTGACACATTTGCCGGCGTGTCTTTCAATCAAAAGAGCACAACGTATACTTCGAAAATGGACCACTGAGACCTTTTTTCCCCTCTAGTAAACAGCCTTTTATTTTCATTTCATTTTCGGACAGATAGGATCTTAGAGCAAATTTGGCTTCTTCCCATTGAAAATAAATTCACCATAAAATTGACAATTACAACATTGAATTGGACATCCTTAAATACGTCTATCTCCCTAGTCTTGTCCAACATAGCATTCATGAGTAGGCATTGCTTACTACGTTAGACCTCACTCAAACGAATTTACAAGTTCCGAAACATCAAAGTTACATATTTAGTTGCCTGCCCCAATGTGTGAATATATCAACTATAATCTACAATCTAAAATACAATGAAGATTCAAGCCGTGCTTCCAAGTGCCATTTGGAATTGCGGAGGTACTCGGAGCAATGGAGCCTGAATTGTGCCGGGCTTACCAAGTTGACCACAGGCAGCCATCTGATCATCCCCTCTACTCAGTCGCAAAAAGACCGTGCAGCCAGCTTCGGCTAGTTTGTTTCGGAATTCGATAATCCTTTCCTCTTTAGTTGGTCTGAACAGTGATCCACTATGAGGATTGAAGGAGATTAGGTTAACCTTGCAAGGAATCCCCTTTACAAGACCAATAAGCCTCTTTGCATCCTCATCACTGCATTAAGCATTGACAGGCAGTGTTAACTATTTTAAGCATATAATATCCACATATGGACGCAACAAAACAGTCATAATTATAAGCATATTTCTTTAGCTGCACAAAAGATGAAACCCAACTCAGGAAATTAAAGTATCAGGAAATAATGAATGTAAATGAGGAAAAAGAAAATTCCTCCTTGAACGCAATCAAAAAGGCCACCAGTATAGTATATGCCGGCAAACAATTTCAAATTCATTGCGTCATGGCAACTCAAATTTTAATTGAAGTAAATTCCCTTGGAAAATAGAGACGCTCATGATCACAAGGAGAACTAGAAGATGAAGAAGAATGCTGTTACACATGTTCATTAACGGGCAAGACCAGTTATGCATGTCATACTAGTCCAGCCATTCACAACAAATTAAATATCAGTGAGGTTTTTGTGGAATAAGAAATTCTTCAACATAATACTGTAGGGTATTTGTAGCGTTACATAAATCATGTGAAGAAGCACAGATTTTATATGCCAAACAAAGAATGCAAGAAATAGAAGTTCATGCAACCTGTCATTAACTCCAGCGAGCATCACATATTCAAATAGAACTTTATAGTTATGTTTAAATCGTAGCTCCTCCCGAAGGGTTTGAAGAAGCAAATCCAATTTGTACTTGCGGTTTATTGGCATGATCCAGTTTCTTACCTGCCAAGTGAGATTAAAGCATGATAAATCCTCCCTCTCTTCTTCATACATCATTTCTTCTCATGTTCTACAACCCACTGAAAAATATTTAACAAGCAATATACCTCATCGGTTGTTGCATTCAAACTAACAGCTAATGCACAGTTTGATTCATGAAGAAAACGTCTGAGCTGTGGAACAAGACCACTGGTTGAAACAGTGACCTTGCGAGGGCTGAAATGAAGCCCTTGTTCATGCACCATAATATCTGCAGCTTTAATCACATTATCAACGTTATGAAGTGGTTCTCCCATGCCCTAAAATAAATGCGCAATTCTTATTAGTGTGCAAGAAATTATAAGATTTTCTCATCCTAATCTTCCCTTCCCCAACTCTAATCTAGTGTACAAGTTATGTTAGCATCAATCGATTCACAGAAGTGCTAGATGAGATTGTACAAAATTGTAGAACACTGAAATGGAAAAGTTACTGGAAGAATAACAAATATAAGAAAAAAGAGACAGGAAATGTGCAGAAGTTGGAAAAAAATTCAGACATAATTACATCTTACATGACTTCATATGTCTGAATAGCAATAATGCAAATAATTGTCGAAGCAGATGTATCATGAATTACAACTTGTAGCTCCAAATGAATTGAAGGCACAAAAATAAGCATATCACCAATCTACAGTATGATTATAGCGTCATGTGGAAAAACTATCTGCTCATGTATTGTAACACGTATCTATACATCTAAAATTGACTTTCTTTTGAGAATAAAAGCTATATCAGTCACTACATTGACACGCCAGAGCATAAATAGCAAGCTGAACAAATTCAAAGACGTTCAAGCTGAAAGTAGCATCTTATCATCTCAAAAGAAAAAAAAAGAAAAAAAAGAAAAGAAAAGAAATTTGAACTATGAAAAATCTAGATGCAAAGTATGCTTTGAAATTCTCATTGCTACTGCAGACCTACCATAAAGACAACATTTGTGATTAAGCCAACTTCACTTGTAAGAAGACGTCGAGCAAAAACAGCCTGCTCTACAATTTCTGCTGCAGTCAGATGTCTCGTAAGGCCCATTCTGCAAAATAATTCCATGTATAATAAACTATCAGTCAAAATATAAGAAGAAACCGAATGATGCCATTAAATTGCTTCGAACAGGCAACTGAAGGCTTGCCTTCCAGTATAGCAAAATTGGCAGTTCATTGCACATCCTACTTGACTTGAAACACACACAGTATTCCTGCCTCTGTCACAAGGAATGACAACTGTTTCGATGACGCATCCATCATCCAACGTGAACAAAATCTGCAACATCCTGTGAGTATAATAGTCAACAACTCTCCAGAAATGCAACAATGTGTCAGATATTGTGAGTGCAGTCATTAGGTTATATGATTAAGACCTTCTACACAGCTTCCAGGTGGACTTACAGCCATAGAAATCTAAAAGACAAAAATATATGGTAAGAATATCCGAGAAGTAAATGAAGAAAGATAGGTTCAACCTTCCTAGTTCCATCAGATGCTGCGTGAATTTCTTTCAGACTAAGAGCCCTGAACTCAGCATGTTCGCTCAACATCTTCTTGAAATCTTTGTTCAAACCTAATCATATGAAATTATAGAAATTATTAGCAATTTCCAAAGTCTAGTTCGAGAGAGAGAAGGGGGGGGGGAGGTAAGGGAGGAACCTTCCAATTCATCGCTATGGTGTGCCCAAATGTTGTTTCCATACATGCGTTTCCATAACATCATAGCCTGCCCAGGTCTGTATCCATGAGATTGGACCCAGGTCTGTTCAAGAAGAGTCACAGAGTTATAGCTCATCAGCAGCAGCCACAAATTTTTCACGATAATTTCATTATTAAGAATAGGAAAATTCTGACACTAGAAATTTTTAATGTGGTCACGTCTCATTGACACGTTAAAAGCAGCACACAAGGACACTCGAGAATTCATATTTCAATTAATTAAAGTATCAACAAAATGAAAATAATGAACTTCGACAAACAAACCATACTTCAAGCTCAGTGTAAGTCATCCCTTTAAGAAGCAACTTGGAACCATTTCCAGAAACCGCAGTGCAGTCATCGTCCCCTACTGAAAGAAACAAACAAGGATTTTGAGAAAGAAGAGAACTTAAAAAGAAATAATTTTGGTGCCAATATGAGAGTAAAAATGCTCACCAAAATCTGGGGTATTGTCGTTATCATTTAGAGAAGGAACGGAAGAAAAAGAAGCTGCCGGGGCTGAAAGCAAGCGATAAGGAGGGAGAAAATGGAGAGATATTCTGAGGAAAGCAAAGGATAAGGGTTTTTGATAGGCAGAAGAGAAGAGAGCGGCCATGGAAGGCCTGGAGAGAAGAGCAGTGCCTGCTCCCCCCAATCCCATGCTTCGCATCCAATTCGTCATGCTTCTCATGTGTACGGGGCCACCGAAAATAAATCCCTAAAACCAGAAAACTGGAGGAGGATATTTGCGATACCCGGAGAAAAATAATCATTGCCATTGTCATTATCACTATTAGTCTTTATAATTTGATGAAGATTTAATTTTGGTCCCCATAATTTTAAATTACTCCTCCGATCCAAGGGATTTTATATTTAAAACCGGATTACACTACAAAAAGAATATTATATTCAGAATTGGAGGAGTAATAAATTTGGTTCTTATAGCTTTATAAGAATTTGATCTCAACTCTACACTTTGCATAAGTTTTAGTTTTAATCTCTATACTTATGAAGTGCTTGGATGTATCCAAAATTACTTTATAAATTTTTTTTTTGGTAAATTAAGATAAATTTTTTTATATATTTATTTGTATGTTATAAAATCACTTATAAAATCATAATTTAATTTTTATCTAAACACCTCCTTAAACTTAGATCAAATCTTTATAAAAATGCAAGAACCAAAACTAATAGTTTAATAGGAGTGAAAACTAAAATTTGATTAAACTAAAACAATAATATTATCTTTTTTGTCGTTTTTAATTAAAGGCTGTATACTAATGATAGGAGGCTACTGCTCATAACCTTCCTACTGAAAGGAAGCTCTCATATGATTGGGTTTCAATGCCGCCGGCATATGTAATTTTTATCATTTGTGACATAACATAATTTTTGTGCCTCCAATTTCTTCATAATTTTTCAAATACGAGGCAAAAGGCTATTTATTATTTTGTACCGAAGCTGTAAATATAAAAAAGAGAAATATTTATTTGTAGTTTTCTTGTTTTAAAAACGCTCAAACCCAAACATGTGCAAACCAATATCGATTAGCCATCAAATAGCCAAGGAATCAAATGAATGAGAGCCTGCGTCTTGTCCCCAGTTTTATGAATTTGAATCTCCTGAAGCCACCTCAAAAGCTTGGCATCCTACTCTGCTACTCAATGTAATTAAATTTGATGAATATTTTCTTGAAAGATCAGGGGGAAATACACAATATAACCCAAAAACAAAGCCAACAAACAAATCTTTTCTTTTTAATATATTAATTAGAATAGGAACTTGTCTATTTGCGTAGAGTTTAAATTGAGATGCATTGGCTTCCTATAATTCTTTTTTTTTTTTTTTGGGTTAGGAAAGTACATGACTCGCATACCTACTCTTCACAAGTAAAACATGATAGTAAGAGAAAAAAAAAATGCAAAAGATGGCAGTGATGAAAATATTTTAGCATTATAGCGCAATTTGTGTGAGTAGTACTATGAGAGGATCATATATTGCTTATCAAAAAAATTAAAGGATCATATATTATTCAGTTAAAACAATATTCTATTATCACAAGAAATTAATACGTAGGCTCCTCCCTCGTGTATATATATATATGTACACACACCGCATTCCTGACTCATATACAAGAAATCCAAGTTCTCCTTTATACTCCTATAATAGCCAATGCTACTGTTTCTGAGGACAAACTGAATAGAAACTCAGCAGTCTGATGTGAAGCTAGTGGGAAGAATGAGGATAACCCCTCCTTTGCACCATTCTTGTAAACTGAATCCCTAAAGGCCAGTGAACCCTTCACTGTAATCCTCTTTGTCCTCCTGTTCTTGTTGACTCCATTGATCCGGATAACCCAATCCGTATATGTAACCTGAGATTGGAAAAGATTTACAGAGATCACTGTAATACAGAGCCAAGTTTATGATCTGTCTTGGAGTGACCACAAGCCCTTAATGCAAAAAATTTATTTCTGTGCTGCCAGACACAATACAACAAAGAATAGATCACGATGGCAATCTGAACAGGATAGTTAAACAAAACACCAGTTAACCATTCATCAGACACCATTTGAAGGCACACAAAGGCTCAATCCACACTAACTGATAGATCAACTAACCCAAAACCAAGCTAAAACCGATCCAGCAGCCAGACCAACAACTAGGAATAATACCATCACAGTGCCCGCAGCTTCTGCATGCTGCAACTTCACAACTTTAGGCGCCAAGATCATCAATACACTGGTTAAGTACCCATTAGTAAGCCCTAACAGGCAGGTCATTATCGTCACAGGAATCTCTGTTTGAAAGAATTTGGGACCGCGCAAGCACATGAGGAAGAGAGGGAAAAACAGAAATCTTCCTATGCAACTTCCTACTGCAATTTTGGGATTCTCTAGGAGATACACTGCAGTTAAACTCTTGCCAACAAGATCAAACACATTGAAGCATGTAATAAGGAGAATCGGATACCAATCCTTGAGAAGTTGAGAGCTCACATCCTCGGTAATGTACCCAGGAAATATGGAAAGAGTTACAATATATACAAGAACAATTCCAAATCCATACCATTTCACTCTTCCTACAATATCCCATACAATTGCCCTCCAAAGAGAACCAGTCAGAGGACCTTGAACTTCTTCATCTTCAGTGACAGCCAGAACCTTGAGTTCATTACAGTACTTCATAACAGGAAGCTTGTGCGCTACATTGTACAAGACCATGCATATGAACATACCCACAATTCCTACAGAAAAGTAGAGGTTTGCACTCTTTCGCAGGCCAACGGCATCTTGAGAGTAAACAGCTTTTGTTAATATTCTCAGGAAAGAAACAAGTACACCTACATGTACATAGAAAAGCCGAGACAAATCACAACAAACAATTTACAAACTCGAAGTTCATCAGGCAAGGAAACATATGACTGATTTCTTAAATTAGTTTATATAAAAACCTTGTACTAGCATACAAATTGCACCTGGGATATTGAAATGAAATCAGACCAATATCAGCTTACCCCAACTACTTTATTGTAGATGCAAGAGATCTTTTGACATTTCGCATAAAGCTTTAACCTAGAATAAAGCTCTACCCTTTGAGATCCAATATTACATCAAAACTTAAAAAGGAAGCGAAACAAAATACATAAAAGGAAAGAAAAACTTGCTTCTAAGTCTGAATTTTCATATCTAAACTATATTGCAGAGCTCAGAACATGGAGAATCCTGGACACACAAGTAATAGATGATGCCTAAATTAATATCTTAATGTACAAAATGCTTAAGAATGCAAAATTGTCAGTTCTGATGTAATGTAAAAAATAATTATTTAGGATGCATTGACTTTGTGCACAAGAATGGTTGAGGACCTGAGTTTCCCACACATAATATGGTTTCAAAATTGTTACATAATCGTTCAGATTATCATAGACCAGTCACACAGAGTTGATCCCGCCTTTTGAAGGACTTCATCAGATGCCTAAAGAGGAAAGATTCATTACAGCAAACAGAAATATATAATCAAAAACCAAAAAAAGCGGAAAAAGAAGAAGCATCAAACACAGAAATGCTTCTTTCACACATAAACACAAATTTTAACCATTAAATGGGCATCTCGAAATCCATGGGGATATCGTATCCAACTGGCAGCAGAATTCCTGAAGGGAACTAGGAATTGAACCAAACATGATAAGTATATAGCAGAAGAGGAAATAGAGAAGCAAATTTACCAGAAGCAGCAGTACCAGCAATGGTAGCTTGCATGTACCTATCCGGCAACTCCCCAGCAGACCCAACGATTCCACCTTGAACCAGAGCGCCACCTAAAGCCGAAAGCCCAACTGCGCCGACCGTCGCATAGAACCCATCATACAACCCGACCCGACCCTTAATGTACAATGCATCGATGATGGGAACCAGGAGCAAGGCCAGCGTAAGCAGGCCTAGACCAACGTTGATTCGCACATAGGCATGGGATTTGTGACTATAGAGGATGATGATGAAGAGGGACACAAGAAGGACGAGCATGTTAAAGACGGCGAAGATGCGGTCAACGCTGGCTTCAGGGTAGAGGAAGGAGAAGTAATCGACGGCGGTGATGAAGGCGTTCCATGGAAGAAGGTAGCCGAAGCCGAGGGTGAAGTAGATGATGTAGGCTAAATGCCACTTGTCTTCAGGGATCTCGTTAGGCGGGGTTTCCGGATTGTTGAGGAGACGAGAGGCATCAGAATCGGAGAGACCCATCGGAAAACCTTGTATCCGGGTCGGAACGTAAGGATTTACAGGTTTTCCGAGGGATCCGATAGTAATACGGATAAATATGAACTGATTAAGGCCTTTCGTGTTCTGAAATTCTGCAAAGGCTGAAAGCAATGGCGTTCGGGCCACCGATCCGAACACCAAAATATTGAAACTAGGCGCGGGAAGCTTCTTACCAGTATTTCAAACACTGTTCCGTAACCAATTTTTTTATCCGAGAATATTAAAACAGAGAAACATTATTGTCGCAGACAAGTAACGTCAGGTTTTTTTTACCCTCTGATTTTTTTTAATCTGAATTATTTGGATTAATATTATAGAAAAAAATGTATTTGAGCCATTAAAGTTTGGTTTTAATGTCGTACAAGTTACAACCCGAAAATAAATAAATAAATAATATTTTGTGTTATTTCTTAAATATAAAATATTCTATCCCATGATGCGTATTGTATTGGAAAATTAGTCAGTTGCTTCAATTTTTCTTTTGAGCCATAGCCATTTCCTTCAAATCAAGGAAAGATTCACATGTTTCATGGGGAATTAAAATATCTTTAAATCCCTAATGGTTTGATAGAGATGGAGAATAAATTATTTTAATCTCCAGAAAGATTATTTGACAGAGATATCTGTAATCCAAAATTATTTTAATAGGAAATCAAGATTCACCTCTTGATGGAGAATTTAAATATCTCTGGCCATTTTCATAGGTTATATTATTTTATGAGCACATTCAATCAAAATTTTTATATTAGAAGGTAGATTAAAATTACAAGAAATGGATACTAACAATCTCTTTGTAGCTTTAAAAATATTGACTATTGAATAAAATTATCAGCTGAAGACATATTTAAATCCCTGAACAATTTAATTCAATGCAAACACTCTTTCTGTTGACCAAAAAAACATGGTTTCTAAATTCTAAATTATTCTAGATTTATTTAGGTTTTTAATTAAAACTTGAAAATATATAAATTGTGTTGAATGCATAATTTGTTCATAAGTTTGCGCACTTAAAATATTATCAATAAAAAATTATTCGTTTTTTTTTTTGTTTTAATCACAGAGCAAGAATGAGTGTTAAAACTTAAAAGATACACATAATTCAAATTTAAATAGATGAATCTTTTTTTCCTTGGCTAAACTCTAAGGATGTGTTTGGATTGGCGGTGACAAAACTGACTTTTATTCTAACTTACTTTTGCAAATTGAAATTAGAGTAAAAGTTAGTTAGTGTAATGTGATTTATGTTTGAATTAGTGCTTATAAAAAGTCAGTTGGAAAAGCCAAAACTTGTTTGGATGATTAATAGAAAAGTGAGTTTAGTTATCAAATGATTGAAAAGGCATAAACTTTATTAAATAGTAGTATTTGATATTATATGTTTTTAATGTGATAATAGTTAAAAAAATACCTAAAATTAGTATGATAAAATAAAAATAGTCTATTTGTGAAATTATAAAATAAAAATATTTTTTACCAAGAAAAATTTTGAAACACATTATAGATAATTAATTAAATATATATAATGAACAAACATAAATATAAATTAAAATTCATTTGGTCTCTAATTAAAGTAAATGAAATCACATAACTAATTAGATCGTAAGTTTTGCACAACTTAGTCTCTAATTGAGTATCGAACACGATTCATTTGTGCAGCAGATGTTAAACTTGACAAGAATGCCTCACCAGCTGTATAATTATTGTCTTCATCTATTACACTTCTATGTTCAGCTTGTATAAAATAGTCATCAATTGGAGAATTTTGCTTAACAAAATTATGCATAGCCATTGTTGCACAAACTATGCCGACTTGTGTTTGAAACTTGAATCTAGGCATATCTCTTAGGATGCAAGACCTTCAAACAGCCTTCTTACCTGTGAATTGAAGCTGTAACACTAAATCTGTTGGAATGGCTGAACACCCAAGAGGGGGGGTGAATTGGGTGTTGATTAAAATTAAAAATCTTTTCGCAATATAATGAAATTCATAAGGAATTCTGAGTATAAAAAACAATGAATCGAGATAAGCATAATCACAGTAGTAAAATGGTTTAGCTGGAATTATAAAGAGGTAAGGGAAGAGAAGATGCAAATAGTGATTTATCCTGGTTCGGTCCTCACTGACCTACGTCCAGTCCCCAGGCTCCCCCTGAGATTTTCAATCGACTATCTCCCTCAAGTTTAACACGGGTACTTGAGAACCACTACAATCACAAGTTTGATCCGGGCACTTGTGACGCCACTTACAATTCTTAGACTAATCAGTTTGTTCAGCAGCAACCTCACACCGAGGTAAATACTCCCCCTTACTCACCGTAAGGATACAATCTAATAATGATAATGAAGATTGAATATTTCTTCTCTCAAAGAAGTGATAGACGACTCTTAAGCACGTTTGGGAAACTCTCCTCTCTATCTTACGAATACATAAGTTTTAATCTATGAAGTACAGAGACAGGGAGTTTTCTTTCGGAGCTCTAAATGAGAATACGTTGCTTCGGCATTTTAGCACTTGATGTTGTAAGCTCAGACTCTTCTTTCTTCTTTGTTTTGAATGCTCTTCTATTTATAGATGATGTTGGGTAGTTGACCGTTGAGCTTTTTCTTCCCGTTTGGCTTGAAGAATATGACCGTTGAAACTAGCCGTTGGAAGCTTCTGACGAACGTCGATTCTTCACATCATAAATTCGTTGTGGCTCTTTATCTGAAATAATGTTCCTCAGATCAAGTGATAAGTATCTGATAATCATAGACACAATAAGTTGGAAAACATGGAATCAATCATCAGATATTCAGAAAGTAAGATGAACTTACTTGATCGATGTCTTGATCGATAAAGCTTTGATCGATTATATTATCGATTAATTACATGAAGAAAAGATATAGCAGATAGATGCAATTATCGAATAGATTATGGATCATATGATGATCGAACACATGATCGATAAATGATGAAGCATGAATACAGTGACCCAAAAATGATTTATGCAAGAATAAACCTTTTCAAGTTATGTTTGCCTTCGTATCCTTTTAATAGAGAGTTATGTGTAAAAAGAAGGCTGAGAAAAGCTTTAAAGAAAATAGATCATTGATTTTAAGAATCATCATTGTCGACTGATGTTTAAACGGAGAACGTTCCATGATCGAACAAGTGATCGAACACTTGTTGATCGAAGAGATTATCGATAATCCAAGTGTTACAAAAATGAAACTTCAGTCATTGATGATCGAACAAATTATTGATAAATGGATGATAGATAAGGTTATCGATAAACAAAGTGTTATAGAATAGAATTTTAAGTAATGATTTTCCGAACACATTATCGATAAACAAATAATAGATAACCTTATCGATAAACAATAAGCAAAAGTATATTCGGAGAAAACACATGCTATGTAGGTTGATCGAATAGGTGATCGATTAATGAGTGATCGATAAAGTTATCGATAAAGTAAAACAAGGAGATTTAATCCTGTAAATTCAAAGAACTGATTTATCGATCACGTTACGTGAAAAACAGGGTAGACATGTAAGAGCAATGATCGATCATATTATCGATAAATGACTGATCGATGAGGTAATCGATAAATGGAGACTAAAGCAAAACATAGAATGAGTAGAACGCATTACCATTTATCTGTCTTCTCATCGATAATCTATTTATCGATCATGCTATCGATAAATGCCTATTTATCCATAACGTTAACTTTGTTTATCGATCAAGTGATCGATAAATACATCTATTCATAATGTTATCCGAAAACCATTTATCCAATAGGTTATAAAACCTCAATAATGCATATGAAGATAAAAGAGAAGAATTAAAGAGATAGTACCAGGAACTCGATAAAATGATCGAATATGTAGTTGCTTGATCAGGCTCGAGTAACATCTGATAATGACTTTTCATTTCCTCATTTCTTCTAGTGCTTTTACTCAATAACATGTTTGAGTAGTATGTTGTTTGAGAGATTAATCAATCAATGTAGAACTTCTGGTCTTTGCCTCAATAAATTCGAAGTCTGATTCAAGCAGAACGAAGGTCAACTTTGAGTGATCATAACTCTTCCAATTCAACTCCAAATTTTGCAAATGACCTATCCCCAGAAAGCTCTTTGAGTCTACTTTCTAATGCAACAAGAATCACCCCAAAATTCGTTGTGGTTGAAAATTTATCTCCATCACAATGACTAAAGGTCAGAATCAAGGCGTTAATCCTTACTGCAATGTTTCGAGGCACATATCTCCCTCATATGAAACTCTTTGAAGTTGATTTTGGTGTCCATGAACCGTGTTCTGAGTCTAGTTTCATATGAATTAAGTTTCACCTCAAACGGATTTGTGGTTTGAGAGATATTGAAGAAATACCGAACCTATGTCAGAGCTGAACGAAGAACAGAGCATAACAGAGGATGCATTTTATCGATAACTTGATCGATAAATGGATGATCGATCAAGTGATCGATAATTGCCCATGAAAATCACCTTTGAAGCTTATTTTCCATGTTTATATGAAGGGTGACTCAATATATGATGGTATAACTTCCCGGTTGTATATTTTAGCTTCTGACTGAGCCATCCAAACTTCTGATTGAGCATTGCAACCTTTAACATCAAATCTATGAACTTGAATCTTGATATTTCCATTTGATCTTGCAAGTTCTTCTTTTCTCAATCTCTCTTCTTCTTCTTCCTCTTGATCATTCTCGACAACTCAAAGTTCAAACTCTTTTCTTTTCTTTGCTACCTTTAACATCAAATCTATGAACTTGAATCTTGATATTTCCATTTGATCTTGCAAGTTCTTCTTTTCTCAATCTCTCTTCTTCTTCTTCCTCTTGATCATTCTCGACAACTCAAAGTTCAAACTCTTTTCTTTTCTTGAGGAAACTACAAAAGATATTAAGTATGATAGTTAGTCAAAATATGAGGTAAACAATTTATGCAAACTTTTTGCTCTATTATTTGACATCATCAAAACTAATCATATCTAACAAAATCAAGTGAAGCAGAAGTCAAATTGAGCAAAGAATGGCCAGTTCTATGAGAAGCACAACCAGATCAATGAACGATGGTGAAATACAACAGGTCCGGCGAGTATCCAGCACATGCAACGGTGAAGAACGACAATGCAAGCTCGGGTAGACA